TTTTTTTTCTGTGAACTTCTGTCACACCAATTCAGCTCTTCAATGTTCCTTAGGATCTCTAGGGTTGCTGCTTCACTTACTCATCAGAATATGCCTGACTTGRAAGCAACATCCAAGCTAGGAAATGATAGGATTGTTTTTTCTTCAAAATTTCAGGCMTGCTGGCCGATCCATGAGCAGACGTCTTCCCTCGGCTCCACTTTTCCCTCAGGAGTTTGGAGCCGAGGCGCTATCTGCCGCCTTTCCCTCTGCGAGCTCCCTTCAGCCCCTGCCGCCTGTGACATGGCAGGTTGGTCCCACACAGGGACCCTGCGCTCTGTGTGGTGCTGATGTATAGCCCAGCCTATAGATATCCCCTGTCAGGGSTCACTGGGGCAAGCACAAATGCCATGGATGAGAAAATCCAAATGCACCCAGTACTGAAGTGATTGCTTTCATCTTTTTTTTTCTATAAATTGACAACATAGTTTGAGTAAATCTATTTTTAGTAAAACAAACCCAAATGTTTCCTGTGAGCCCGTGTATCAGACAGGATGTTTTATAGACAACAGATTTCTTGACAGAAAGGCTAACAATGGAAATGCCAGCAGAGCCTTAAACATAGGGACSCAAATACACATCCCTTGTTGGGCTTGGAATTTTTGATTTTGCGGTAATTAAAGGATAGATATCAGTTATTTTGTAGGCAGGTGTCTGTTAGGACAATAGGGTTTTAAAAAATGAAAGCTTTGGCACATTTTAATTAACTTGTCAGTCTATTTAAGTGAGAATTAAACCTGCAGGAACTCTGCAGAGTTGCAACAACATTTAACAGGAACTTATTGTGGGTTTGTGGCTTATTTAATAAAAAAARAAAAGTGAAGAACAGTAGATGAAAACTGAGAGGGTGGAATTATTACAACAATCTGCCTTAGAAAATCCTAATTCATTTATATTGTCTTCTGACTAATATGCCTATGTTCTTCTACCCCTACGTGCATYCCTGTGAACCTCAGCCAGACCAGTATGAAAATGTGACCTAATCCTAAAATATAGCCTAAACTTTAATTAATAGGAAATGGAGTAGAAGCCTGATGATTTTTGCCTGAAACTGAGTCTGGGACTCAGTGAGCTATTGTGAAATAACTTTTTTGTGAAAGGTATTTGAGGTTCTGGGAGTAAGGGGTATGATCTGGGGAAGCCTGAACCTGTACCCGTGAATGCTCAGTTGTCATATGTGTGAATCATTCCCTTTTCCCCAAATAAATCTTAAAGTAATTCTTTTTTATTGTTATTATTTTGAAACTATTTGGGAAATTTGTCATTTTTTATTCTGTTTGGCAGTGGAGAAGTGCAGGGGAGAATTTAACCACGTACAGTGGCAGCTGTTTGAGTGCCAAGTCAATGATGGAGCAGTTGCTGGTTCAACCACATTCACCAGGATTCCGGATGAGAGGACTTGACACTGAGGTTCCAGAGGCAGGATATCTAACTGGATAAAACAGACACCCCAAGGGAACGAGTAGGCAGAGTAAGAAGCATTAAGCAGTATACTTGGGGATTATTTTTAACTGCTTGTGCTTTATTATGTAAGTAGGGACTGTCTGTGTTGGGAAACTGCAAGCAGGAAAGCAGGACTGATTGTGGAACAAGGATGTGTCCAGGAGCTGCTTGGGAGGACCTGAGGCTTTAACCCAAACACAGTCATGACTGYGAGGTCTCTAACGTCAGAAAAGGTGCCAGACTCCGAGCCACTATTTTATGGAATTAATAAAATGATGTGCTAACTACCATCTTTCTGAGTTTCATAGAGCTACGTCAGTTGATTTTATTTTTCTTGGCTCAAGTTTTGTTAACTGTCAAAACTCAAATTTCAGAACTTATGTGTATTATGCTGTATCCTAGCTACTGTTCTTTGTATGCTTATTTTTAACCAAACAAGGAAACTTCTAAAATGCAAATTGCTAATTAGGCAGCACTGCATGGCCAGTAATTCATGTCAGTATATCAGGTTTCAAATGTCTCATATTTAGAGTGAAAACTTCTAGTTCACTGAGGACAAAAAAATATATTGAGCAGAAGGCAAACAAGACAGCACACAGATGGGAAGAGGTAAGAAAAGGGAAGGCAATCCCTCCATGCTGTAGGCCCGCTCCCCATAAAAAAAATAGTAAAAAGCCATTTCAGTACTACCCTTAATACCTGAAAGTTCATTTTTTAGTATAGAAAGGCTAAATGCATAGTGTGGAATGAATGTGTATATTTTCTTGTTGTCTTCCTCCTGAGTTCATTTTCTCCATTTAGCTGCAATTGGCTTGTGTGTAACTCTGCTTATGTCAAACTGGTATCAAAGTGATGGGCAGAGATTAGAGAGAACATGAATTATACAGGAAATAAAATTTTATCATTGTATATTCATATGTCCCATGTTAAAGCTGAAGGACTGGAGGGAAAATAGCACTTTCTTAACTATATACTGATTGCAGCTGTTAACACTGAACAATTTGAGTATGCAAGTTGTTAGATTAGTTTGAAGATATGTCCTATATTTACAGCTGCTCAAGTAACAGTTTATAAAGACAAATTTCAAGATGTGCTACTTACATAAATGAACTTATTTTTAATTTCATGATTCGTGATGAGTTAGTAAAATCACATTTTGTTTTACTTCATCTCAAATTGGCTTAACTTCACTTTTTTGCTCAAATAAGAGCACACTTACTTCGTGTATATAAGTCTCTCTGAACATTTATTTGAAAAAGAATGTAGCTGAATGCTTACAGAAAGCACCACACAACTGAAAATCCCTCAAGCCATGAACAGTGTTGCTGTTCCTTCCAGGCTTATAGGCACAAATATTTAGACACTTATTTTTAGTATTTGTTTTTCTAGAAGTTTTATTTCCTCTGATTAAGCTCATAGATTTGCAGAAGATTAATTTTGAAATGACTTCTTGCAGTCATCTCTTTGAAATCCCTTGCCTGTCAGGGTTACCTTCAAAGTTGAATCATTGTGCTCAGTCTCATCCAGTCATCTTTATAAGATCTCCAGGAGTGAAGATTTTCGCACTCTCAATGTGATTTTTTTTAATTTCCTTTTGTTATAATGTGCAGCTGTTACATCTTTTTTGTTTGTTTGTACCCATARGAAGTCTGGTGCTTTTTCTCTAAAAATGTACTTAAGGTGGTTGAAGATAGCACTTGTATCCTCATTCAACCTTCCCTTCTCCCGGCCAACAGAAATATATCACAGTGCCTACTTGAAAATGTTGCTGAGAGGGGCTAAAATATCTTCTTGACGAAGAAGGTATGCAATCTCCACAAATCTTGTGACACTAACTTCCTTTGGATGGAAACTGGTTGTGTGAGGAGACTTGTCCTTTGTGAATTTAAGTCAGATTTTCTGCGGTCCCAACAATTCCTGTAATTTATCCTGAATGCATTAAAATATAAGGGTTTATTTCAAGCCATTGGCTACTTATAATGGGATGAAAAGAACTCAGATATTTGGAGTTCTCAGGTGTGAGTAGGTTCTGCTTCTGATGGGCAGTTTCTGTCAGCACAGAATTGGCTGGAAGCCTCTCTAAAATACCCAAACCTCTGAGCCCCTTCCCAATTGTTCCTCTYCTCCCATGAAAGCCCCTAACATGGGATACATCAAGAACATGAGTTTGGAAGCTTTATTTCTCAGAAACTGCAGGGGTTCGAGCATCCTGGCACTGTTCAAACCAGTGTTGCTGACTGTTGGATAAATGCATGAATTAATTCTCTCCCAGATCTTTATTAGCAGCTTTCATAAAGCATTCCATCCTCACCACAGCCCCATTAAATTCCCTGTGACAATTACAAGAATTTGCCTTCTGGTGAGACTAATTCATGCAAGAGACTTAATGAGTGTTTTTCCCCCTCCCTGTAGGTCTGTGCTTAAAAATCCTCTCTCATGTTGATAAAAAAAAAAAATGCAGTTGCAGATTATATCTTTAAAGATACAGTTATGTTGGTGTGTGTTACAGGACTGTGTTTCTTATCAAGCTGGTAATGAATTCACTGTTTAATGTTAAATGAATGGTCTGATTATTTTTCAATGCATTGCATTACATTTGCAATTCCATTTTCATCAAGGCTCTTTTGGAAAATGTAGTGATATGAAAAAAAATCTCATGTTCTGTTCTCATTTAAGAGTAAATGTAGTGTTATCTTGCATTTTTTTTCCATTTAGTGCTGTAGACTAGCCATCTGCTCTAGTCACTGCCTTCATTATCAGCAAACAGGAGAATTTATTTTTAGGTTTATATACAGTGTACTTCAATGCTGATCCTTAGTGCCTGTTTAATTAGCTCTTCCATATTATTATGAAAAAGTATTTGAGAACAACAGAAGGAAAGTATCAATAAGGTATTCTGATTTGAGGAAAATTCATGATGTTACATTGTAAGCCTCTTTACTAACTGCCTAGTGAAACTGTTAATGCTCAAGGCATTTAAAGCTCAAGGAATCACTCAAACATGAATGAGTCATCAAATTATTCTTCATTGTCTCTTAACCATCTGAAACTCATCAGGCACATAATATTAAACAAATACTGTGCTGCTGGT